ACTTAACCACTGAGCCACATCTCCAGCCCGTTTGTTTTATTTTGAGACAGGGACTCAGTAACTTGCTCAGAGCCTCATTAAGTTGCTGAGGCTAGGTTTGAACTCATGATCTTCCTGCCTTAGCCTCCTGAGCTGCTGGGATTACAGGTGTGCACCACCATGCCCTGTGGAAAGAGGCCCTTATAGTAATAGTTTGGACTTCATCAGAGTTCCTCAGTCTCAGCTTTACTAACAGGGAATTCTGTTTGGATACTTGCCCTGTGCTCTGCAGGATGTTTTCTTGCATCTCCAGCTTCTACCCATAAGAAGACAGTAGCACCTGCCCCTCCCATTTGTGGCAATCAAAAGTGTTTCCAGATATTGTCACATGTCCCCTGGGGAGCACAGCCACCCTGGTTGAGAACCACTGGACTCTAGATGGTGGCAGCAGTGATGGATTTGAAATGTTTTATAGACGTAGAACAGACAGTATCTTTAAATGAATGGAATATGGAGAGTGAGAAAAGAAAAAAATAAAAAATTCTGACTAGATTTTTGATTTGCAAATCTAGGCAGATAGTGTCACACATACTTTAGGCTCTTGACATTAGTCTTCCTTGCCTTTGTGACTGTTCTTAATACTATTCATCCACTTGTTAAATAGCTCACCCTACCACTCTCTCCTTTCTCTGAAGGAAGGTCCAACTTCAGTGCCATCTTGACGTGTTTCCAGGTTAGCTCACCAGTTTTGGGAGATGACAGGCAGACATTAACAACCAGTGGTGAGCCATGTTCCAGTGAATTCCTACTGCCCCATTTAAGTACCCCTCTTAGATACTTCCTGGCCCAAGAAAGAAGCACCAGGGTCTACCAAAAGGAACAGCCGTGATGGATGATTAAATTATGTAGCTTTGCTTTTATACCCTGCTCTTCTTTAGATTCCTGTTAGTGGCTTATAGGATTAACTTTTCTTTTTCTTCATCTTCTGATCACAGGACCATCATCTGTTATAGGCAAGCCCTTACTAGGTTTATCTGAAGTTGGTCACAGAATTTGGATTCTTACTATTTGTTACCATGTGTCATAGTTTTCATGTATGTCATGGTTGTTAATGTCTGCCTGTCATCTCCCAAGAACAAGAGGGAAAGGGAAACCATATCCTGGATGGTACTTCTGTCTAGTAGCATAGTTATACTGATCATGAATTTGGTATTCAGTGAACGTTTTTTGAATAAATAAGTGAATGATTAAATCTGGTTTATTTTTTACTCTGGAGTATAATGGAATTAAAAAGAAGTAATATTTTTCTATAATGTGTTTGTTTTTTTTTTAGCTTTATGGACACAATGCCTTTATTTATTTTTATGCGGTGCTGAGGATCGAACCCAGTACTTCACACGTGCTAGACAAGCGCTCTACCACTGAGCTATATAGCCCCAGCCCCTCTATAATGTGTTTGTAATCAGAAAAATGTGGATTTTTTTTAAATGAAAGATTAACCTGCAGGTAGCATTATTAGTATAATCGGTTGGTTGATATGGAAGATGGCTTGTTGTCTGACTTTTACTTCTAATGCTACATCTTCTCTGTTTCTGCCTTGCAGCTCTAGTTGTAAGCACCACTTCAGCTGGTTTTGCATTGGCTCCAGGACCTTTTGACTGGCCCTGCTTCCTGCTCACTTCTCTTGGAACAGGTCTTTCATCCTGTGCTGCCAACTCCATTAATCAGGTCAGTTTCTTACCTTTCATCTAGATTATGGTATTCTTCCTTTTTCCTGGATAGTAGTAGTATCACATTTTTAAAAATTTTCCAAAATCCTGTACATCAGTGGAAATGCCCTGTGAACTTGTAATACTGGATATGTTTTATGAAATCTCTATGTTACATAACTATTGAGTGTTTTCTTTTGAGGTAAAGATTTTCAAATAGGTTCAGGTTAGAGAGCGGTAGAGTACATGCTTGAAATTACCAGAACTTAGAACTTAGAACTTTCTATTCTTAGTGGTATCTTTATCTATTTCAGCTACATTTCCCCTGAGCTCATCATTATGTGCTGTTCTTTCTTAGTTTGATTTTATTGCATTTTAAACCGCCACCATACAAAATAGAATGTCTTCCCTATCTTGTGTGTGTGTGTGTGTGTGTGTATGCGCACACGCACGCACATGTTTGTAGGTAGGTGGGTACTGGGGATTTAACTCAGAGGCATTCTGCATTGTGCTGCATTCCCAGCCTTTTTTATTTTTTATTTTGAGACAGGGTCTTGCTAAATTACCCAGGCTGTCCTCAAACTGACAGTCCTGCCTCAGCCTCCCAAGTTGTTGGGATTACAGGTGTGCATCACCATTGCCTGGCTCAGAATTTATTTTAAAGGAAAATATCCAGCTTAAAAAAATAGTAATTCAGTACTATTAACTTGGTATAAGGAATCAGGTTATATAAAAAGCTAATTAGTATATTATTTTTAATGGATTCTCCTCTCCCATTATTTTAAACATTTAGATACTTCCAAAATAGTTTTCCCCCACTTGTCACTGTGATGTGCCCTAACACAGTGCCTTTTTCAAAGATACTAGAGTGAAAAAGCTTTGGCTAAAACATAAGGAAAATTGTCTTCCTCACCAGAACACCCAAGTGAAATTGGCACAGTTTTTTTAAATAGGAATTAAAGTTACCAGAAGGAAAATAGCTTAGTTGAATGGATATGTAAGTAGCTAGTTTGCAAAATAAGGGAATTTAATTTGATAGTGCCCAAAATGATTGTGTTTCTATAGTGTATTATCAGTTACTTGGAGAAGAATCAATTTATTTTAAATAAGAGTTTCTTGTTATTTTTATTGTCAAACAGTCTTCTATTCTTCTAGTGAGGTTCAAATGGACCTACCACTTATGATTCTTTCAATAAACTGGATTTATTTTGGTATTTTGGATCTAGTCTTCAATTTTTATTTTTATTATTGCCTGTATTTGGGTATAGATCTAAGTTAGGAGAATAAGCTTGGGGCACATTTCTCGTTTCCAGCCTCCTTTTTATAAATTTAGGAGCTGCTTTCATCCTTGAGATACTAATTCCTATCTCTTGTTTAAATTGTACAGATTCAAACAAGATTTTTAAAATAAAAGTATGGGGACTTAAAAATATTCAAACGCTTCAACTGGTTGATAAAACCAAAATATTATTAAAAATAAGAATAAATTTGAGCTACTCTTCCCTACCGTACCCCTTACTGTCTCCAAAAAAAGGCAGCTCAATAATTTTTCATAAAAAAAACAAACTGTCAGTTATAAAGAGAAATTTCCAATCTGGAAAGGAAAAATGAAATGATTTATATTTAGGCAGAAATTCACAAGAACTGAGTATAAGCCAAGGTTTTATACATTTTTAAAGGATTATGTGCTTCAATGGCTGCTTGATTTCATAGTTTATAGAAGCATATTTGTGATGGGGGTAAGTTGGGTTCTGTAAATTTTAAAACTGCTAAGTAAAGCCGCAGACTACATGATGAGATTCTTTCTGGTACCAACAAATTGCAGTGTCTGCCTCTGCTATTAATATTTCCTTAGTTCGGTTTTCCAAGCTCTGCATCCCACTTACACAGCTCTCCTGGTCTCCCTTTGGGACACTTTATCACATTCTTCCACGCACGTGTCGCTCATCCCTCACAGGCCTTGTCAGTGTCATGAGCAATGCTGGATCTTAATCAGTATTCATTTCACAAATGAATTTCTTCCTCTTATGGCCTCCATATTGCTTCTTCCCACTTGTCTTAGGCTCTAATTTTAGAAGCACAATACTTAAAAATTTTTAATTATCCCTAGCATAGTAGAATTCAGTGTTATTATTAAGGTATTAATCAGCTTTCCAAATTATTATATACTCTTCAGTAATGCATTGGAAATATTTTAATTCCAGTGTTATTAGGCAGTCTCATAAATATGAAATAAAGGAACATAAGGCCATTTTCATTAGCACTTTTAAATAGCATTCGTAGAACAAAGAGCACAGGCAACATGGAATTAACAGTGCTTTTGAATAGCAGTTAGGTAAAGACATAGTTTTTAGCATAAAAGAAGAGTTAGTGTTTTTTTCTTAGCTGTGTTCACATTAAAGAATGCATATATGTGGTTGATCTTTTGTAAAAGTCCTTCAGCTTCTAAAAGAATTCTATGGGTAAAAAAATTTCTTTCTGTCCATGTTTATAAAATGTTTCAAAGAACATTTTTTATATATGCTTCATTTGAGCTGTTATTCATTTTAATACTGTTTCTTCTTTGTATCCAACTTCTGTGATCTCTCTGTGAAAGTAGAAAAAATAAAGCTTTGAAAAGCAATTCTTACATTTGTTTTTAAGGAGAGAAAAATGAGATTCAGCTTCTGATTTATGAAGTAGTGACTAGTGCATAAAGAGATATGTATAAGAAACCACTAACACTGAAATGTAAAAATAAATTACATACATGTTTTGTAATATACATGCTTCGTTCAAAACCAAAGTGTGGCTTTAAAGGGGGTATGCCTTCAAAGGATGAAAGCAATCCATAAAATGTTTTTAATTTAGCAACTGAAAGATAAAATGTTATGGGTGGCTTTGACTGTTCAAATCTTGAGAAACAAGTACAAAGTAAATAGAATATATTCAAGTAAAATTAAGACTTCTAAAAATTATCAGACTATTAAAGAATTTTGTTGAGTATTTGGCATAGTAGTGTAATAAGCTGTGTAACTGAGATTATCTTACCTATGTTACTTGTACTAGTGAAACATAAGTAAAATGTTGTATTTATCTGAAGTTTTGCCTTTCACACATAACAGCCCAGTTACTTCAGTTCAAAAATAGTAAATGGAAAATTCCAGAAATATACAATTAAATTAAGAAACTTTGATTGTAGCATATTGTTACGACTGTTTTTATTATTACTTATTGTTGTTAATCTTCTGTTGTGCCTAATTTATAAATTAGGCTTTATCACAGATATATATTTATAGGAAAAACTATAGTATACGTAAGATTGGGTACTGAGTTTTTAGGTATCCATTGGGGGTCTTGGAACATAATCCCCTGTAGATAAGGGCAGACAACTGTACATGTTTCTTAAGCAGGGATTATGTCAACAAACGTATACGAATATATATAAACATCAGTAAATATGTTTCTACAGTATGAATTTTAATGGGCCCGTGAAATTCTGTTTTATGGTTATGCTTCAGATTTCTCAACTAATTTTCTATTGTTGTTAACTCTTTTATTCTGTAAATAACAACACACAGATCTAACGAGAAGAAAAGGACAAATTACTGGAAGTGAAATTCCTGGGAGGAAGGCTACCAGCCAAAGAACATATGAAACTGGTTTAACTTTGGAATGTATGATCTTAACAAGATAATTAATTTCTTACATTCACACAGTGCTGTAGAGTTTATAGACTATGTTTATATAAATCATTCTTTAAACATGACAATCCTGTGAAGTAGGTGACATTATTTCCATTTCTCTTTTTCAAACAATGTCTTTTGGGCCATTGAATTATTTTTTTAACAGGCAACATTTTAAACATTTATTATACAAATGATGTTTTCATTGCAAATCAGTAAGAATATATAGATAAGCAAAAAATAACAGTTACATTTTTATTTTACTTTTCCCCTATGCCAGGTAGTGTTTTGTTGTAGGGTAACAGAGAACAAGCAAAATAGATGCTGTCCAAATAGATGTGCTTTCCAACCTTAACACTCTGAGCAGTTTAGATTGGATGGCTCTTTGTGGTGGGAGACTGTCCAGTGCATTGTGGGATGTTTCCCAGCATCCCCAGCTTCTCTCTGTTGGTAGCAGTAACATCCCTTCCCCAGTTGTGACACTGCAGATGTCTTTAGAAATTGTCAGATATCCCATGGGGACACAAGTCACCCCCAGTTAAGAACCACCTCTTTAATAATTTCTACTTTTTATTTCATTCTGAAATCTTTACCCAGGATCCTGGCTATAGTTTCTCCTTGTGTAACTACTCATTGATAGCTGGGGTGGTCATGTGTCATACTTTATGCCTTTGTTCTTGGTATAATTATTAAGAATACCCCTTTTACTCAGGTGCCTTAGTGTGGGCGAGGAATTATGGTCTTACTGTTCATAGCTTGTTTATGACTTCATTCTATCAGTATAAATGAGATGTGGTAGAAATATCTTCATATCAAAAGGTGTTTCCTTGAGTTCTGCCTTTTCTTTTCAGTGTGCCCATTGGAGGAGCAGAGATTTCCTGACTATAGCCAAGGTCACTTGGCTTGCCTAATCTTTACCTTGTTTGTAGTTACACCTATACTCTGTTGTCATGCCTAATTGTAATGTGTTTTACACACACACACACACACCCACACAAATGACCTTAAAGAATATTTTACATCAATAATTACTCTGCTTTAGTACATTGTTGTAGAATTTTGATGGCTGTTTTGTTTTGTTTTGTTTGTATCTCTATCTTGTATAATATTCCTGGCAGTTTGTCTTCTCACATGGATGGTTGTCACTAATATCCTAAGGCAGGTGATTGGTGGGCAGCCTGATGATTAGAACTTTATTCTTCATATTAAGCCACAATACCTTTGTTTTGTTTATTTATTTTTATGTAGTGCTGAGGATCAAACACAGGGCCTCACACATGTTAGGCAAGCACTCTACCACTGAGCCACAACCCCAGCCCCTTCCAATGCATTATTTTCTAACTATGATTAATAGATGTTTGTGGTCTCACAATATAATTATTCATTTGTATCTCTTCTCTAGAGAACTCTTAACTTCCTTGAAACCAGTGATTATGACTGTAACATACGTATGTATCCATCATCTCTGCTCACAGTATAGCACTTGTAGATTGACATTCTAAAGGAATATGTATAAAAGAGAGAGAAGGGGAAGTAGAAAGAAATGTTAATGACAACAATAATCTCAGCTAATACT